ACAATAGATTTATCTATTTGCCAGCACATCTGGGGAAAGGCTGTGTGTGCGAAGACAAAATAGGCCAAAAATCAGTGCTTCGCGTTCTCAAGGAAACACCTAACTGTGGGTTTAAATTCTCTGTCTCTATTGCTGATGAAAGCTCTGAGAAATCGAGGTTCAACTGCAAACCCTCATGGAATAACAGGCAGAGAGAGAGAAAGAAGGGGCATTTAAAGCTGTCTGACTTTGTGGGGAGAAGGGTGACTAAGAGACATGGCTGTGCTTAGGGATTCATCCATCCATCTGCCTAGTAAGTGTGCAGTGAGCACCCCAATCCCACCCAGCCCTCTCCTGAGGGCGCTCTGGAGGCTGCAGGGAGAAAAGACAAGGATTTTCCTCTCCAGACATCCAGACTCACATTAAAAACAATAAGAACATGACTCAAAATTGAGTCTGTACCTCAATAAATGGCAGTTAGCTTTTCCATAGCAATCACTCCAAAGCTTGGCTTTAAGACAACAACCATTTGTTCAGCTCACAATTCAGTGGTTGATAATTTGAATTGGGCTCAAAGAATTCAGTTGGAAAGTTGGTCCTTTAAAAAAAAAAAAAATATATATATATATATATATATATATATATATATTTTATTGATTTTTTTTTTTTTTTTTTTTTTTTTTTTTTTTTTTTTTTTTTTTGCAGAGAGGAAGGGAGAGGGATAGAAAGTTACAAACATCAATGAGAGAGCAACATCAACCAGCCGCCTCCTGCACACCCACTACTGGGTGTGTGCCCGCAACCAAAGTACATGCCCTTGACCAGAATCGAACCCGGGACCCTTGAGTGTGCAGGCCGACGCTCTATCCGTTGTGCCAAAAACGGTTTTGGCAGGGAAGTTGGTCTTATTTAGTTTTATCTGGACTGATATATCTATATCCTTGATGATCATCTGGGACAGTTTATCTCTGTTGCACATGGTCTCATTCTCCAGGAGGTTAGCCTGGGCTTGTTTATATCATAGAGCCAGAGGAAGAAAGAGAGAGAGAGAGAGAGAGAGAGAGAGAGAGAGAGAGAGAGAGAGAGAGAGAGAGAGAGAGAGAGAGAGATGCTTAATCCAAACCACTGACTTCCTCCTGAACAATTTCTGGTTCCAGAATTCTGTTACTGGACCATGTATCTCTGTTGTCCCTGGGTTCATCCCAGGAGTAGGAAGCCAGCCAGGGTGCTTCTCTTGGCAAGGAACCCTGGGGTGGCTCATTGCAGGGTGCCCCTGCATGGCTTGATGGGGACAGAGGGGACATGTGAGGAGTGGGTATTCTTTTTGCCCCATCTCTGCAGCCAGCCCTGAGCTGGGCCCAGAGGAGGATGAGAAACATCTGTCCCCTGTGAGGCACCTCCACATATGTCTTACAGTGTCGCCTGCAGGTGGGGCTAGTTCTGAGACACCTCTACTCTGCCTTTCCCAGACAGCTTCTCTTTCCTCCCTCCTCTCTTTCTCCCTCTTGTTATTTCCTTTCTGCTCTCTCTTCTCTTGCCTGCCTTTCTGTTTCCTCTCTCAGTATTCCATTCGATGTCCTACCTAACTCCCTTCTCTGTCACACACACATACACACACACACACACACACACACACACACACACACACACACCAGGGTGTTAGACTGAGGTGGCCATGAGCAATAACAGTTGGGAATCTAATTTAATTGCCTCTGGCTTCCTCTGAGAGAAAATGGATACCCTCCTACTGATGTGATTTGATTTCAGGGGCCTGGGGAGGCCGGGACTCCCACAGTGGCCAGACTCACTGGCAGCTGTCTGAAATCCCACCATCAGAACTTCATGATGTCTTCTTACAAAAACATAACAGCTCCCGTGAAAAGCCACTATCTAAATGTTTTTCCATGGCAGTTCAGAGTGGCCCTGAGAGTCAGGCTGGAGCAGGGCAGAGGCACACACAAGAACTTGTACTTCTCCTGGGGAAACAGGTGGTAGACGATGATGTTACCCTCGGTCCTGTCCACAGTGTTCACAGGGTTTTTGCATAAGTGGAACATGTCTTGCAAACCTCAGGAGCAAGAGGCCAAGTTCAAGTGGCTTTCTGAACTCGGTCTGCCCATTTGGGGCACCAAGCAATGTTATTGTGAGTGCCTCTGCCACTTCGTGAGCATTGTTGGAGTTTGGGGATTGGCTTTTTTAAAAAAATGCACTTGAGTTTTTATAGAGAATACTAGAGGCACAGTGCACAAAATTCATGCACGGTGTGGGGGGTGGTCTCCTCAGTCCAGCCTGTATCCTCTCCAATCCGGGACCCCTCAAGGGATGTCAGACTGCTGGTTTAGGCTCAATCCTGGGTATTGAGCCTGCAATGCTCAAACTGGAGGGTTAGGCCCTGAACATGCTCAAACTGGAGGGTTAGGCCCAACAGACTGATAGCTGGAGAATGAGTGGGACAGGAGTGGGAAGAAACCATAGGGCTTCCCTGCAGGGAAGGAAAGGGAGAGGCAGAGGCCTTGGGCCCAGGGCTTCGGGCAGGTGGGTGGTGATGACAGTAACGAAGTCCTGAGTTTCTGGAAGGTTCACTGACAGAGGGGAGATTTGAGTCTATGCCTTCCCTAAAAGCCAATTGTCCATGGGAGGGAGAGGGCAGAGCCAGGGAACTAGGGCACTTAATGAAGCGAGGGGACCTCCCAAGGAGGAGGGTGGTGCAGAAAGGGTCCAGGACACCCAGAGGACACAGGCCCATCTGGGGTTTCCTCTGGATTGAGGATGAGGGGAACGGAGTCAAGGGGTGCAGAGGAGCCTCAAGGGGGAGGCCAGGCCAAGAAGTGAGAATGTCAGAGACGGTGACCCAGACAGAGCCATGAGGCTTAACCGAGGCCTCTCCAGAGCAGGGAGCCTCCTTAGCAGTGGGAATAATCTAGCTGTCTTCTCATCTGAACAGTGCGGTCACCCCAAAGTAAAGTGGCTTCCTTCTCAAGACTCCAGGGCTGAGAGCAACCACTTCGAAGCCCTTGAGTAAAGAGAAAAGGGAAGAATGGGATGCATTGTGGGGCAAGGACCAGGGTCCCTGTGGCAGACCCACCCATCAACCAGGGCCAAATCACCCCCTTACTCCCAGGGATGTGGGATCCTGGGAGAGGAAGGTGGGAACCAAACCCTTGCGGAATCCAGTGAAGCCAGTCTGGCATGTCCCATCCTCCCCAGGCCAGTTCTCAGGGTGTCAGGTTCCCCGCTGTCACTCAGCTCACTGACCCAGCATCACTCTCCCTTCCAGATGGAGGCAGAACAGGCCTTGGGAAGGGGTAAAGGGATGGGGGAGGACAAAGGCCCCAGGATGGTGTGGGAGAGAGGATGGTGGGGGGCAGCTAGCTGGCAGGGACACATTTTATGGCAGGCGCTATGGTCAAAAGATCTCACTCAGTAAAGGCGAGAACTGGCTCTGTCTCATCCACCTATAACCCTGGTGTCCAGCACAGACCTTAATGCATAGCCAAAACATGCTGGCTGAGTGAATGAATGGATGGATGAGTGAATGAAATGAACAGTTGGACATGTAGGAAGTAGCATCTTGCTAAGCCTTGGCAGTATGCAAAACAGCTGCCTCCCAGTGTTCAGCACTGGTTTGCGTGATGGCAGAGGAGCAAATGCAACCAAAGGAGCTGGAAATACTCCTGACAGAGACGGGAATTCTTTCAATAAGTGTTGGGGCCCAGTTTCAAGTCCAACATGGACTGGGGTGGCCCAGTCCACGAGATGGTCAATGCAAATCACAACCCACTACCCCAGAAGTTAAAGTGGTTTCAGAGCCAGAACAAAACCCCCTAACCAAGGAAGGCAGGGGGAGGGGGGGAGGGGGAATCTGCCCTGCTGAGGGCCTTGGTTGTAAACCATGCATAGTTTCTCCCAATTCATGAGTCAGATATTCTCCTAATCCTAATATATAGGATTAGGCTCAGTTTCCCCACAAAATGCCAGGGTGAGGAGCCCCAGACTGCTTCTCATGACTTGTTCTCAGCTTCACCCTCTCTCCTGCCTTCCACAGTAGCCACCACCTCCAATCCCTGACCCTTCAAGCAAGATCCCCACTCACCTTCCTGCTGAACAACCCTTTGGTTAGAACTTAGTTTCTGGTTTCTCATCTCTGCTAATTCCCCATCTGCTTTCCAGCTTCCAAAAATCTGTAAACACCTGTTGCCTGCTCATGTCACCTCTCCTATTCCCTCTGTCCTTGTCTGTTTACCTGCTCTTTGCCTCTTTGCTCTCATTTCAGCAGGGTTTGGGGAGGAGCTGAAGCTGCAGAGTTTAGCAGGAAGCCTTCCTGACCGGCCAAGTCCCCTTCCCGGCCTCCCCGAGGCCTGCAGTGCCGGGAACTACATGTCTGCTCCTGGGGAATTTACAAGGCCTGCTTGTCATCGAGCTCAATTTTATTTAGCAAAGTGATGGAGACCCTGTTAGATGTTGCCTGAGCCCAGCTTATTCCTAGAAATGGTTGCTTTTAAATAAATTATAATATTAGAACATACTATTTAATTATATTTGAGTGGTTAGTTTTGTTTGTGTTTTTTCCCCCTTAAAACTGCATAGAAAACAACTTCTGGTTGTTTTCTCTTTGGAAACGAGGGTCCCATGGGCTAGCCAAGGCTTCAAGGGAGCTCAGAGCTTGGCAAGGCCGGACACACTGTTCTCCACGTGGCATCTATTAGAAAAGGCGGTGAGGTCAGAGGTTGAGTGAGAGGCGTCTAATTCAAGAAAGCCAGTCTGCTTTTCAGTGTGTTAATTTTTTTTTCCAGGATGCTTAAAGAAAGCAACCCTTTCTCCTCCAACATGGAAGGCACGGGGTCTTTCCTTGGTGTATTCAAGATGACCATGTGGACATAAAAGCAATGACCTTGCTGTGTCCTAATGAAGGTCTGGAGTGTCAGCAGCTGCAGGAAGTCCTCAGGGTGGTGGCAGCATCTGCAGGGGAGGTACGCAGCGTCGGTCCTCACCAGGTCTTCTCTCTGTCCTTGCCTCTCCAGGTGCCCCCTTTCAAAGGTCTCAGCATCCACACGCTACCTCCTGCCGCCACTTCCACCTGGGCCCCCTGCAGCCGCAGCAGCTCACACCCGACTTCCCCCTGGCCCACCCCGTGCAGTCACAGCCGGGCCTCAGCGCCCACATGGCCCCGGCCCACCAGCACAGCGGCGCCCTGCACCAGTCCCTGACCCCGCTGCCCACCCTGCCGTTCCAGGATGTCACAGGTCCCTCCTTCCTACCTCAGGCCCTGCACCAGCAATACCTCCTGCAGCAGCAGCTCCTGGAAGCCCAGCACCGCAGGCTCGTCTCGCACCCCAGGTGGGTGCTTCCTGGTGGCCAGTGGGGCTGGGGTGGGACCAAGGGCAGTCACTATGCAGCCCCTAAGTGGGTCTGTGCCCGGGCAGCGTTTGCTCAGTTAGATGAGAGGGATTTGTTTAGGCCGTGGGAGCTCTCTTGACTCCACACGTGGCCAGTGTGCATCCCTGTTACATTGCCCAGGTAAGGACGGGAGCAGGGCAGCCGGTGGTCACTGATGCCTGCAGTGGAAGTTTGCACCTGGGGGGCGATTTGACAGGGCACCCTCCATGTCCTCACTAGCATCCTGATCACCTGGTTCTAAGACCCAAGATCCCGAAGGAATACCCAAAGGACATGCTGCTCCGCCCTGCCTTCCACGAGCGCCTGGTCTGTTGGCGAGACCAGCTATGAACCAAATGGAGAGAAAAGTCAGACGTCACTAATCTAAAGGTCTGAAGGAGCCAGAGAATTCTTCCCTCAGGAGCCTCAACTGTCAAGAGAAAGAGTTGGAGTAGCTCAGTGGCTCTCAAGCTTCTGTGTTGATGGTTATGACTATTGATACTTATTCAAAATTAAAACAGAAATTTAAAAAATATTTATTAATTCATTTGAAAATAACCACAGGACTCATTATATGTTAACACCAATAATATATTTTTGCAAAATAGTTATATATTAATGTGGTAAGAAGAGTGACCCTTTTTCTTTTTTTTTTTTTAGAACATACTTGTAAATCTCTTCAATGCCTGGCTTAATAGAGGACAACTGTGTTCTCATGTGTTGCAAATCACATGTCACATAGCTACTGGAAATCTCCAGTGCTCACCTGTGAGGGAATGAAAAAGGAAAGAACATCATAGAATGATTTTGAACATAGTTTTGAGCTCATAGCTATGGAGGATTCCCAGGGGGCTGCAGCACACTTTAATAATCTTTTGGCTAGATGATCTCTAAGGCCATAAGCATCCATAGCTGTAGGGGTGAGTGCTGTATGGGATCAGGGGGAGGAGGGGTCACCATGACTAGATTGTTCAGGGAGGCCTTCCTGTAGGAGGTGGCTTTGACCTGGGCTGTCAAAGCTGGGAAGAGTGTGAAGAAAGGTCAAGGAGAGAAGAGCATGGGGGAGCAGAGGGTGCACAAAGGTGGGCGAGCCTACAGGAGGCAGATCTGAGTGTCCTGAAGACAGCCCACCAAGGACCATGGAAGTGGAGAGGGAGCAGAAGAGCCTGGGAGCCTGGGAGGGGCAGGTGACCTGCAGCAGACAAACCCAGGAAGAGGCCTCAGTACAGTGGGCAGCCGGAGAGAACAGGAATGTCTGAGTTACTGGCTGCTGTCCAGCTGGGAAGCTTCCTCAGAGTTTGGGAGGAGGGGCAAAGCTCCTGCTCTGAAGGCTGCCTGAGACTGCTCAGAGCTGCTGGGAGCTGGGCTGGCCTGGGCAGCCCTGACACCATGGCCTCCTTCCCTTCCGGTGCAGGCGAAGTCAGGAGCGCGTGTCTGTCCACCCCCACCGACTCTACCCCAGCTTCGACTTCGGCCACCAACTCCAGACACCTCAGCCCAGGTATTTGGCTGAGGGCACTGACTGGTGAGTCTTTCTGATCCCTGGGAGAGGGATGGAGGGTAAATGGCCTTGCCCAACCCATGGAGTTTCTGTTTCCTTCCCTTGACTGGTGCAGGAGACCTGGTCCTCAAGCCCCAGGCTGTGCCCCTGTCCCCAGCTACTCTCAGGGCCAAATGGTCCCCACCGGTCCTGGTCTTGACGGTTAGCTCAGATGTGGTTGGGTGCCCATGTGCCCAAATAAGGCTCAGGGCTCCTGCTCCTGCAGGGGAGATGGGGGCAGAGATACAAAACATTTCCTAAGCTCAATGAGGGCTAGGAAGTAGTGGCGCTTGGGAGAAGGGCAGAAAGAAGAGTCAGAGAAGGCTTCATGGAGAGGGTGAACCTCAAGGGACCCGCAGAGAAGAGCCAGGGCATACCAGCAAGGAGATAGCCAGCCAGGTCGGAGACAAGGACTCGGGGAGAAGCTGGGGAGAGGGGTTGAGGTGGTGTAGGCGCTGGGTCTCTGTGAAGGCTTGCTGCTATCCTGCATGCGGGATGGAGGTCTTCGTTGCCCTGGGATGTAGTGTTGCTTGGTTTGGATCCTGGGTCACACCATACATTCTGTTCTAGCTAGGAGAGGGCTGATCTAAACTCAGGGTGGATGTGAACTCCCAAACACTTGAAAAACTCATGCAGTTCCCTGAAGTAGTTAGAGGTAAAGGGCGTCATGCCTGAAACTTATTTTTAAGTCGTTCAGGAAAAAATCCATAGAGAAGTGTAAGGAAGGGGGTGGGGTTAGAGGGAGGGAGGGAGAAAAGGAGGGAGGAAAATAGAGAGAGAGAGAGAGAGAGAGAGAGAGAGAGAGAGAGAGAGAGAGAGAGAGACACTAAAATAGTAAACCATTACCACTTGGGGAATCTGGGTGAAGGGTATCCAGGAATTTTTTTGTGCTATTCTTACTTTGAGGCAAAAAACTTTTTTTTAAAGAATGTAGAAACAAATATACAAAATAACAGAAAAGCCTCAATGGGAAGGATAGAATAAACAAAAAGATGTGCAGTTGTGCCATTTCTCAGCCAGTTAGTCACGCAGATTGGCTTAGTCCAGGGTTGCTTTAGGAGCAACCTAGGCCTGGCACCTAGGAATGATTCCAAAGGATAGCTCTGGTTGATTGACGGCCAACAGTGCTCCCAAGACAGGAAATGGTTGTTTCAACCTGCTCTGTTACCCCCAGCCCCTGCTGGCTCTCAGGTACACTCTGTCACATTGAACGCTCTCCGGAAAGACAGATTGCACGGCAGCCGAATTCAGCTCAGCCTTTTCTAATTAGCAAATTCAAATCAGGGAGATTTAATTGCAGTTTGGATTGAATTCTGTCCCTCAGCATCCAGTCAATCCAATCTAATTCAATCCTGTCCACATGGGCACCCAGAGCCCTTGCACGCCCTGAGCGATCCAAGCAAACACATGGGGGCCAATGTGGCGAGTAGGACTGGACAGGTGACATAGGTGAGAGTCCCGGAGAGAAGTCAGGAGGAGCATTCGGGCACTGCCCTTGGTCACTCTGATTATTTAGCCAAATCTCCTCCCCTTCCTCCCTCCTTTCAATCCCTCTGCATTCCTGACCCCTGCTGGTCTGGGGAAGCATGGAGGCTGAGGCCCAGAGGTTGGTCTGTGCCCCAGCAGGGGATGCTAGGAGGCCCCTGTCTTGAGCCCACCTGAGCCCACTCCTGGGTCCTTCCTCCCTGCTCAGCCCCCACTTCCCAAGTAGGCAACTCTTTCTCCTCCCTTTAATTAGCTCTGCTCCACAAGGGCCGGCCTCCTGTGAGTGACAGAGGCGTTTAGTACTTGTGATCATGCTGATGGCATCCTGCCCCCTTTTCCAGGGAGGCCTCTCCTGCCAGGAGAAGCATGGTCTGGAAATGAGATGGCAGGAAATGAATTCTAGGAGTGTTACTACCACCTCTGCAAGGAGCCCTGGAGGGGGAGGTGGGGAGAGAGTGTCTGTAACCCCTTTTCCGTTAGAGAAGCATCGGAAACCACTGAATTCTGCCCTAAATTCTTTCAGGAATTAAGACACCTCACCTGCCCTTGTCTAGCCCCAGCCTTTTCCTCTTCCTTGCGGATATTTTAGTTCCACTCAAGCAGCTTCTGTCAACCCTTTCTGGCCCTGGCCTGATAACCTGACCCTGACCTTGAGCCACCACTCTTGTGTCTCCATCCTTATCACGCTCCCACTTCTATTTACTAGTTTTCAAAATGAGGAGTTGGCTCCTTAGCATTCTTCAAAGGGATCAGTCTTATTTAGGGTCGCCTTGTGGATTTGTACCTGTCAGATGTGTTTCAATCTATTGCAGTTATGCTCATGGATATGCAAATTGTCCAAATTCTGGCCAGTTCCCACCTCCTCAGGATGGTTTTGATATGACCCTGGTAGTGTGTTCAGTTACGATAAAATGTTTCGCTCAAACTCATTTTGCACATTTGATGCTCCAGACCTGAAATTAGCCACTTCCCCAGGGAGCCCTGGTTCCTTTTCAGAAGCATGAATGGATCGATTTTTAAGGAAAATAAGTTTTCCTATGCTTTTAGAAGCGGGGTGGGGGTGGGGTCCAGGGTAACAGGTCCCGATGCACAGAGCTGAGGCCCTCTTCTCTTGTTTGCTCCAAGTGGTTAAAGTATGGCCTCTACCCCCTCCAGTCTATTTGGACCTTGTCTTTGCTTTGAATCCCTGACTAGCTCTATTTGGATTTTTCTTTTAGCAGTTCTCTTGGGGGGCGGGCTGTGTGTCCTGGAAGGATGCTTAGGTGCACTCATTTCAAAAAGTTATACGGGGTCTTGACTATTCTAGCCCCTTCAGACCTTACAGAGCCCTTTCTTCTCTGAGTCTCATTTATGTCTGTTAAGAGAGGGGACGGGTGACGGAGGTCCAGTTTCTTGCAGTTCTGGCAGTTTGTGACTCTGGTTCTCCACCATGGCCTGGATGTCTGAGGTTCCTTCTGTAACCTGATGGCTGAGTACCTCCTGCGGCTCACTGTGGCCATGTCCCCGCAGGGATCTCAGTGTGGACGCCAGCTTGAGCCCTGCTCAGTTCCAGGTGCGGCCCATCCTTCAGCACTATCAGCATTACCTAGCGACGCCTCGAATGCACCACTTTCCCAGAAACTCCTCCTCCACGCAGATGGTGAGTGGGGGGCTCTGCCAGGAACAACTCTTGTTGTCCTTTGGGGGACATGGTGGGCTGAGGCCTGCAGCTCCTTGTGTCCCGCTCCCTGTGTCCTGTTCCTCTGTGTGTATTGCTCCCAGGCAGGCCAACTGCTCCCCTCCCCTCCCAACTCTTACTCCCACTCTGACTTGAGAGCACCTGTTGCACTAGAAGCTCAGCTGCAAGGACTGGGTGGGGCAATGGAGGGTGGCACGGGGTAGTTGCAGGTGGGGGGAAAGGCTCAGGGCTAATAGCAAGCAGGGTGGTCTCTGGACCCTGTATGACTTGCACTTAGTTAATTTCTCAGGTTCAGTATCTGCATGGTTGTTAATTTACTTATCTGTGAAATGGGATGAAGACACCTGCCTGGCCTACCTCACAGGACTGGTGTGAGGAGCATAAGAGACCCAAGGGGTGCCTGGCTGCTGATCCAGTCAGCTTCCTGCAAAAGGCTGGCTTCTCCTCACTGCAGGGCACTGAGTCTGCCAAAGGACCAGGTTCCCTTTGGGGGCATTACAAGCTGCATGGAATGAAGGTGAAGATGTTTCATTAAACTAACAACAACAACAACAACAATAATAATGTAACAAAAGACTGAAAATCTTCTTATTCTCAAGCAGCTTCTTCAGGTTGCTACCCCAAAGCACAATTCCAGCCTGCCAGTCCTTGCCTCTGTCTTTAACCATTCAATACCTCAGTCTCCTTATCAGTAAAACGAGGGGTGTGGGGGCAGTAATCTCAGCAGTCTCTCAGCCCTCAGGCCCTCCGGTTCCTGTTGTGAAGCACCATTTACTGAGAATAAAAGCTAACATTTATTTAGCACTTACTGCATACCAGGCACTGTTCTAAGCAATTTAAATGAATTATTTAAACCTCTCGATAACTCCACATGAAGAGGCAATATCCCTATTTTACAGATGAGCAAACAGAGGCTTAGATAGGTTAAGTGGCAGGCCAGGGGCATGTAGTGAATGAGACGAGGAGCTATGCTGGACACCTGGCCCTCTGACTCACACCTGGGTCAAGGGGAGTGAGTGAGGCAGCTCCAAACAAGTACAGGGGCAGATCCTTTCTGTATTGAAAAATTTGACATTTTGTTCATTACAGATATTTTATATTAATTTTGATTTTCTTAAAAAAATGTTGCAATAGCCGAAGCCGGTTTGGCTCAGTGGTAGAGCGTCGGTCTGCGGAATGAAAGGTCCCAGGTTCGATTCCGGTCAAGGGCATGTACCTTGGTTGCGGGCACATCCCCGGTAGGGGGTGTGCAAGAAGCAGCTGGTTGATGTTTCTCTCTCATCGATGTTTCTAGCTCTCTATCTCTCTCCCTTTCTCTCTGTTAAAAATCAATAAAATATATATTTTAAAAATGTTGCAATAAAATATTACTTGTCTCAATCACAGTGCCCTCTTAAATGTTGTGTCCTCACTTGCCCCACCTGGGTCAGACAGTGTGAAGTCAAGAGGGAGGGAACTGACTCTGCCCCCACTTCCCCAACTGCCTGGATTTGAAATGGTGGCTCTGCCACTTGGTTGCATAAGTTGGGCCACTTACTAAATGTGCCCGTGTCTCATTAACCCTATCAGTAAAATGAGGATAGTAACTGCACCTACCTTGCAAATCTGATGAGATCATTAAATTCGTTAGCTATCTGAAAGGCCTACAACAGTACTTGCTGGCATGAAATAAATGACCCATCAGTCCAGGTGTTACCTCATTGATTTTGTTATTCTTTCTGGGGCTTGTCCAGCATAAGCTTGGTTCTTGAGGGGGTGAGGGAGACCGGGAGCAGGAAAAATGACACTTCTGCCCACAGTTTCTCAGAGTATGCAGATTGGCGGTTATGGGAAGAGGGGTCGGATGCTGAGATCATGGAGCCTTGAATCCTATCTGAGGCATTTTCTCCCCAACAGGTTGTCCATGAAATCCGAAACTACCCTTACCCGCAGCTTCACTTCCTTGCTCTCCAGGGATTGAACCCCAGCAGACACATCTCTGCTGTGCGGGAGAGCTATGAGGTATGCCTGCCCCTTTGTCTGGGAATCCTCTGGCCAGCTTGACTCCAGTGGGATTGATAGAGAAGCTATTATCATTTATCATGTCCTCTCTCCTTTCCCTTCCTGGTGGGTAGGGCATGAGGGGGGCAGGAGGAGCCTTGGGATTGAGAGGAAGAGAAAGAAACTGAGAGCAAGTAGAGATATTTCATTGTTTCAGACAAGTTCTTCTGAATGGCTGTGTCAATGCTTCCTGCTAACATCTGTCAGTGCCTCTCCCTCTCATCACATGTGTACATGTGCCTTTGCACACGAGTGCACAAGTCCACATTTTTCTCTTTGCAGGAGCTACTACAGCTTGAGGACAGGTTGGGAAATGTGACTCGAGGAGCTGTGCAGAACACCATCGAGAGGTTCACCTTCCCCCACAAGTACAAGAAGGTGAGTCAGCCAGCAGACCAGCATGCATAGTAAGGGTGAGGGTGGGGAGGATGTAGGTTGTCTAGTTGACTTCGGCCTGGCTGTCCCAGTCCAAAATCTAGAAGCCTTTGCTCTGATTAGATGCTCTGAAGCGGCAATGCCTTCCCAGGTTTTCTCCTTGGCCTTTGTCAGGTGTAACCAGGAGATGGTGGCCTCTCATTAGTAAGGGAGGAGGCTGGGTAAGTGTGTGCATGTGGACTTGTGAGTTGGTATATTAGGAAGGTGTACAGGGAAATGAATGTTAGTATCTGAGTGGGGGGAGCAGGAGAAGTGCTTGCACAGAAGGCTAAGACTTACCTTAGAAAACAATTCCAACTCCAGTCTCACATGTAGACAAATGGGCAACTAAGGCATCAGAGCAGCAATTTTTATGTAAACTAAAACTGCTCTAAACATATAGTCTGATATGAAGACAAATAAAAATTTAAAAATCTAAGAATTAAAAGCTTGACAAGCACGAGAATCTCAGAGCAGGAACATACTCACTGTGGTCAATCCAGAGCCCATCTTTAGCTCCTCAGGGTAGACATGTGTAAGTAGAAGAAATAAAGGAAGGAAGGAATGGAGAGAAGGAGAAAGGAAGGAAGAAAAGAATGGAGGGAAGGAGGGAGAGAGGAAGAGAGAAAAAGAGGGAGTAGAGAGAGGAAGGGAGGAAGAAAGAAAGGAAGGAGGAAGGAAGGAAAGAAGGAAGGAAGGAAGGAAGGCAGGAAGGAAGAAAGGAGGGAAGGAAGGAAGGAAGGAAGGAAGGAAGGAAGGAAGGAAGGAAGGAAGGAAGGAAGGAGGGAAGAGAAGGAGGGAGAGAGGAAAGAAGGGAAAAAATTAGATGAACGAATGCATGGATGGATGGATGAAGCATGCTGCATCTGAAAGTGGAGGAGAAAGCTGGAGACAGGGATCTAGGTTGGAAAGGGTGTAAGGAGAAGTAAACAGGATAAGGGGAACAGAAAAGATGAAGCTGTTTATGCACAGCCACCATTTTGCAAAGGATTGATTCATTGGTATCCAGTTCCTTTCCAAACTCTATGCTCCCAGGGCAGTGTAAAGTTTGTGCCTGGAACATGAATTGGCAGGAACAACAATAATAAAGTTCATTTGGCTTTAACCTCTGTATTCTGCAGCAAGAAGGAGGGGTGGAGATTAGGCAGGGAGAAGGGCCTGGGAAGAGCGTAGAAGTCTGGGTATAACTTAGGAGCTTAAAAAGAGACTGCCTCCCTGGAGGATGGAGGTGGGGGAAGAGGTTGCAACTGCCAAGATCACCAGTTGAGTCTGCTCTAGATAACATGCTCCCCCTTTGTATTTTGTAGAGAAGACCCCAAAATGGCAAAGGCAAGAAGGAAGAGGGGGAGGAGTCAGACACTGATGAGAAATGCACAATTTGTCTGTCTATGCTGGAGGATGGAGAAGATGTGAGGTAGGAGGCCAGCCTTTTGGATTTGTCTTCTTTCCCTCATGGGTATTGGTAATCAGTCATGTGCTGTTTGTTGGGTGGGGTTTTCTTATGTGTGTATGTGTGCACACATGAGCCAAGTATGCCACAGTGTGCTTTATGGTTGTTCTAAGATGATAGGGTGTTGAACATTCTAGATGTGTGATGCCTATGGGTATGGACTTATAGATGATAAGTTTCAGAGAACAGCCTGCTATTTGGCCTGGATAGTCTAAGACAGTGGTTGGCAAACGCATTAGTCAACAGAGCCAAATTTCAACAATACAACGATTGTAATTTCTTTTGAGAGTCAAATTTTTTTAACTTTTTCCTGCACCATTTCTTCAAAATAGACTCGCCTAGGCTATGGTATTTTGTGGAAGAGCCATACTCAAGGGGCCAAAGAGCTGCATGTAGCTCATGAGCTGCAATTGGCCAACCATGGGTCTAAGACAAAGTCATGGTTTTGTTTCAGGCTGCACTGAGAGGCTGGCTGCATGCAGAAGGAGAATTTGGGTGTTCTCCTTCCTATAGTGATTTCCCATCCCAGCCACAGCCTCACTCAATGGCAGGGCTCCCATGACCCTCTTTGGCCTGTCCCCCAGTAGTCCTGGGTGTGAGTCTCCTAGTCCCTTGAGTAACCGTTATCCCTCAACTCCTGGAACAGCCCTGGGGTTCTTCCCCTCAGGCATTCCTCTGACTCTCCCCCTCTCTTCCAGACGCCTACCCTGTATGCATCTTTTTCACCAACTCTGTGTGGACCAGTGGCTCGCCATGAGCAAGAAATGCCCCATCTGCCGGGTGGACATTGAGACACAACTGGGAGCTGACAGCTGAGGAAGGAATAGCCAGTGGATGCCCCATTTTCCTTCACCAGGTCCCCCCACGGCCATAGCCCTTGCAGCCAAACTTTGCCTTCTGAGCCATTTGACGTAGAGGAAAAGCCTGCAAGCACATTTTGTGGAAAGAGGAGTTGGTGGTATCAGTGTCCGAGGGAAAGGAAGGGTCGGGGAGGACCCACCCATCCAAAATGGTGACTGTCCCCATCTGCCTCGCTGCGCGGTAGGGAGGGAGCTGGCCGTGCCCAGAGCAGGGGTGGGAAGGGGGGGCCCATGCTGCTGAGAGTCTAGAGGTGATCCTAAAGGTCCTAGCTGATAGACCGGCCCCTCAATCCTGCCCTTTGAAGGATTGTATATATACCTCTCGACCACGTAGAAACCATGTAGGGGTCTCTAGCTATTTCTGTGGATGGCAACCAGAGCATGTTAGCTTAAGAAAAATGTTGTGTGTGGTGCTCTAGTCATCTTGTGGTGGACATGTCGCTATTATCGAATTCGCACCAAATATTTCTCATTGAGTTTCTTGTTTTGGTGCCTGACCAAACCAACCAATGACAGCCCAAATCTTCCTATCTTTAAGAGAGAAAAGGGAAAAGAATCAGAAGTGGAAAAAAAAAAAAAAAGAAAAAAGCCAAATCTTGTTTACGATGAAAAAAGGATTTTTTTTTTCCACCCAGGTTGGGAAGCAGGGAGGGGGATGGGGGTGTCCTTGTTTTGTTTTCCATTTTGTTTTTTTCCCTTTGCTTTTGGTTTTTCTCATGTTTACAATGCATGGAGCATGGAAGGGGCCATCTGAGAATGGGGAGGACTGGAGAAGGAGCAGATGGGGGTCTTAGATGGGCCTCTGAGGGGCTCAGCCAGGGTTGGGAAGGCAGAGGTTGAGTAGGTAAGAGAAGAATTCTGTCTTGAAGGAGGGAGCCCCAGTACCAGAGTCCATCCACTTAGCCCCAGCCATTCTTGCCCCCTCCTTCAACCTCCCCCCGATTCCACATTGAATCTGGGAGGGGCCAGCCTTTAACTAAAGTAGCCACCAGGTTCCTCAGAGCCAGGATACCCCTGCTCAGACCAACTTCTTCCTTTCAGCCTGCTTATGCCCTGTCCCAAATAGGCAATTTGGCCACTGCCTCCATATGCAAAAAAATTAACCAGATGATGAAGCTAAGATAGCATAGGGGATGGATACTTGGTCCTGGCCAAAGTGCTCTCAGTTAGCACTCAAGGGCTGAGGCCAAATACCGTGGACCTTGAGGAGAACTTGGAACTTCCTTTGGGATAGCTCAAATCTTGATGGAGACCCTTGGAGATGGCCCTGGCCCTGAGACCCTGTTGGCTGGGTTTGGGAGGCACTGTGTCCCTAGTCTCTGGCTATTTCTCTGACTCTTTGATAACATTGGGTAAGCCCTTTTCTTTCTCTGTGCCTCAGTTTCCTTCTCCTTGGAGTGGGGAGAAGCAACAGTGCATCTCCATTTCCACTTCTCTACCTCACCTAGCTGTTGTGAGGATTAATACTACCTGCCCACATATTGATAGTCTCTCTTGGGAACCTCCTTGGGGTGTAGGGGTGGGGGCGGTAGGAGAGGCAGACCTGAAGTTCCAGGTGAAACCATATTGTGTTTCTTACTGCACCATTCCACAGTTTTTCTGAACCTTAAGGAGAGCAGAGAGAGGAAAGAACAGAGGGATGGAGATGGGAAAATCTACCAAATCCCACCAAATCCACCAATCCCAACCCAACTTTCTTTATCTATAAGAGGAAACCCCCGGCTCAGCTGGGATTCTGCTCTCTTTCTTTACCCCTCCCCTCCATTTGCACTTCCCTCAAAGGCCTGTCCCTCACCCAAGTCTCAATGCCCTTGTATCAATAAGAGAAGACTAGGGGATCCAGGATATTTATCACATATATGAAGGAATTCCATAAGGTTAAGGAAATTGAGTCTGCATTGCTGCTACAAAGGGTAAAACAAGGACCAATGGGTAAAAATGACTGGGAGGTAGATTATGGCTTGAGGCAGAACCTTCTAGCACAATGGGAACTGTCAGGTGGAGGGATGGCTACTCTGGACACCTACAGGCAAAGTGGGGGAGGTGGCTCCTGGTGGGAGGTTGCACAAGTATGTTCCTAAGCCATCCTTCCTGAGCACCTGCCAGTGCAGGTGTTGGGACAGGTGATAGCAAAGAAGAAATCCCTCCTCTGGGAGCTTACACTGTAGCTGAGGAGCAAAGACACAAAGAATAGTGCAAAAATGGTGAATAGTCTAATTCTGGGTTAATGGCAATAAGCCTGACCTTGCCCCCTTCCCTGATTCCAGTGAGTGAACAGTGTCACCAGGGCTAAAGGTGGAGACCCCAACAAAGTGGAAAGTACCTCTGAATCAGAATTTTTGGGAAAGCTAGTTACTAGTTGTCCCTGTATGTTGGGAATTTTTCCCACCCTGGTTTGACCCACAGGTAGCCAGGATGGTCTAGGGAAGGTCACTCCCCTCTTAGTCTTGGGCTCTTGTTCTCTCTAAGGCCAGTGGGTAGATGGAGTGAAAACTGGAGCCTTGGCTCTTCCCTGACAAAGTGGGTAGTGCTAGAAACCTGCTTTCCCCTCTCTGGGCCTCAGTTTTTTTCTGCTGCCACACGAGGAGATTGGATTAGATGCTTGCTAAATTTCCTTCCAACACTCACATTCTCTGATCCTCCCTGACACCAATACATCATTCACGTCATTAGAGCGGTGTGCCAATTGAGCTGTTGAAATTACTTGCTGTGGGCACCCATGTCTATTTCAGAGGCTGAGAGTAGTCTCCTCCTCCTCCCAGTTGTCTGCAGGCTCCCGGAGTGCCCCAGGCTAACTTTAGGCACTGCCTGGGGTGGTGGGAATCACCTGGAAGGAAGAGGTCAGCACTAGCTTTGGGGATAGAGCCTAAAGCCCCATTCCCCTCATCTTTTTGGGGCCCTCTTCCCTGCAGGGGGGCAGAGGAGGTGAGAGTTCCAGGCACCTCCAAGCTCCTTTATCAGGGCATCTGTCTGGCCAACAAGAGAGGACAGGGTGTCTGTGCTTTTGCTCCCTCAAGGCCCCTTCCCCCTTCGTCCGGGAGCCGGGAAAAGGGGAGAAGAGGCAGGCTCAGGCCTCAGCATCTCACACCCACCACCTCCAGGAGGAGAGACCCCCTCTTCTCCTCCTCCTGCTCAACTCAAGGGACTCAGACCCTTTCTTGACTGAGAAGCATGAGTGCCTTCTGGGGCAAGAGCTGCCCCAGGACCAAGTTGGGCCTCCTAGCCACAGCGCAGCCCTGGCCACAGTGGGTCCACCAGGGACACCAATCTAAAAAACCAACACCACAGCCTGGCCTGTGAGGACAAAGGGTGGGGCTCGGGGCTCCTCCACTTGCCAGGACCCCCTTGGGCCCTGCAGCCCTCGCCTACCACCTGTGGCGGGACTCTAGCTCCTCTTCTGCAAAAGTTCCCAGCCTCCGTGCAAGTATTCTTAACCCTTTACGCCTAACGAACAAGCACAGTTTTTTCAATGGTGAAGAAAAAGCACCAGATTTTTTTTTCCTGAAGAAATACCCCAAGCCACCCCCCCTCCCCCGCCGGCCGGCGGGACACACACTCCCCACGTGGGGCTGTAGCAACGTCTGTCAGGTCCCCTACCCCTCGTGTTTCATCTCCTGCGCGCGTAGAGCAAATGCTAGAGCGATTTCAGCTGATAGAAAAAAACAAAAAACAAAAAACAAAAAACATGGCACGTTGCTAGTTTACAGGGTTTTGTGAGTTTAAATGCCTTATATTTAACAATCATAATTTATGACTAACTTGTAGATATCGTGGGTTCTTATTTAATTATTTTTATAGTTATTTTGCATTTTTAATTATAATTTATTTATTTAGAAAGGATACTAATTTTTTTTATTACTCCTATTACCTCATTTTGCCGTTGTTTCTGGGAGTGGAATGCTTTGCATGCATTGGTACGATGACAAACAACTACGAATACAAAAAAATTTTTTTTAAATAAAATTCCGCGAACTTTATTTCGTCCAAATATCAGGGTGTGTGATTGCAAGCTGTCCTACTGTGGTGCTGGCCTCTTTGGATACATTCCATATGAAATGCAAACCTTTGATTCTGTATGCTGTGATCTAGTGAAAAACTCCAATATAGTGACTGTATTTAGCACATATATTAATATAATTTGCACTCGTCAGCAGACTGGGATAATCCTTTCACTTGCTATCCTCGTCCCCCCTAACTCTTGTCTTCCCTTGCCCTTCCCACACCTCAGCCCACCCTGCCTCCATCGTCTGAGGAAGCTCTGGGGGCACTGGAAGTCACTCTCTCCACCTGGGCAACAAATCCCTCTGGTTCCAGAATGTTCCCTTTGGACATGACTGGCAGGATCCTGGCTTATGAGAATGAACTCTGGACAGGAGATTAGGAGGCTCAGGTTTTCAGACCAGCTCTATTGTAATCTTCTCTGCGACCTTGAACAAATCCATTGGCCCCTCTGTGTCTCAGTTTTCTGGGTTTTGGGGTGGGGGGCAGGAGGTGAGCTGGAGGGTCTCCAGGGTCCCTGGGACTCAGAGAAAATGACACGAATTTGATGGGAGACTACCATGCTGTGCTAAGTCACCTTCTCAGGAGAGAAGAAAGGAAGGAAAGAAGAGGAGAGGAACAGAGCAGACCGTGAATGTGTCCGGTGGATTTGCTCCAAGGAGCTATCCGGAGGGCTTCTGTCCTTTCATATGCAGCATCCTGGAGGGACAGGGAAGCAGGACACGTGGACTGCTTTCACAAGGCTTGGCGGTCACCTGGAGAGTGAGCTGAAATCCATGTCTTGTTAGTTATGCGGATGGGATGAGCTCCAAACTATGGTGTTTAGAATTGGCACCCATCCTAGCATCTCTTGGAGACTTTCTTATTGAGGCATCGCCCTTGATAACATATTGGGACACAGATTTTGGACTCATGGCTTCTCCACCCCAGTGTCTCCTCTTTACTCTCTGCCATTGC